TGGACTTGTTTTTCCTCGAATTTGTTTTCCCTCTTCATCATCTGAGAATTGGAGGATTCTCGTGGCACGGCCGGGAGAAAAATCCTTCAGTGAACTATCGGAGAGAGACTCTGTCGAACCCCTCTGGGGACCTGGAGGGGAAGCCACTCCCAGGAGGGAAGAGAAAGGCTTTGGGATCTAACAGCTGATTCCACAGTTTTTTTTTTTTCTTTGTGTTTATATGATTTTTAAATAAATAGTTTTTTCCCCCTTTTCTTTTGCTCCCATTGAATTCATTCAAACCACAACACACTGCCATCGCTCCAGCTCGGCAGGTCAAGGCTGTGCCAGCCCTGTGACACTGCCACAAAACTGCTCATGGTGGCCTGCAGGGACACGGGACTGCCAGGACAGGCTGGACACGGAGATTTGGGGACATCCACAGCAGCACAGCACCCGCCTGYGCCCTCCCCCTGCCCTCCATAACCCACAGCACTCCTCAGCTGTRAGAAATTCCAATTGTAAGGAACGATTGGAGCCTCAGCTGGCACTTGGGCTAATGCTCCACGGGACAAAGGGAGCGGCTCTGAGAAGGGCACGCACAGCTCATGGCCCGGGGCTGGGCAGAGTTCRCCACCCCGACCCCCTCTGTGCGAGCCAGCACTCAGCTAATGAGCTGGAAACTCCTGCCAGGCTTTCATGGACAGCCCAGGGCCATCGGGATTACAGTGACAGCTCTCAAAAGAGTTCTGAGACAAGATAGCAACAAGGAAACCTCCGGTGACAGATATTTCCATTTACAAGGACACCAGGAGAAGCACACCCCACATCCAAAGAGCACCCTCCCTACAGCCTCTCTTCTTCACCCCCAACTTAAAAACCTTTCAAGAGCAGCAGCTCTGCACCCTGCTGGACCCCTGTTTTGGGAATGGCAGCTCAGGTGGCACCCAGGAGCTGTCCCCTCACAATGGAGAAAAACGGTGAAAAAATGGGGAAAAAATGGGAAAGAAAGGGTTAAAAATGGGAAAACTTGSGAAGCTGGCTGCCCAGCTCAGGAGCAGCTCACCAACTATGGCTTCACCTCAAACCAGACATGAAAAAGCATCAGAGGCAGAAGGTTTGGAGTGTGGGCACTCCTTGGAGCAATGGCTCTTCCCTGCAGCCTCAGGGACACTCTCAGGGTCACCCTCAGGGTCACCCTCAGGGTCACCCTCGCTGTCCCTCACCCCCAGTCCCTTCTCCTCACCATTCCTTCAGTCACTGAACTGGAAGAGCAGAGCACTGGAGATGGATCTGGCCCAGCAGCACCACGTTCTTGGCAGTCTCATCTCCAGGCAGGAGTGGCCAAATCCTCCCTGGTGTGCCCGGGCACGGCTCCATCACCGATTCCATCAGCCAGGCAGTGACAGAAAAATTCACATTCCCAAAACCACGGCCTGAGCTCTGTCTTTGGCTCCTTGTTCAGACTGCAGGAGCACTTCATAGATCTGCTCTGAAAGGATTTTATGAGCTGGGGCATCAATCCTCAGTTTTTCTGCTTTTTAAKGAAAGATTTGTCTTAAAACACCCAAAAACAGAGGCTGGGGAAGCTCATCCGAGTGTCCCTGGCCATGGAGCTGCGGTTCAGAGCAGAGCACCTGTGACACCAACACCCTGCAGCACAAAGGACTGCAAACCAACCTGAATGCTTCAGATTTGAGTCAGGAAYGTGAGAAAGCTCAGAACTGTGAATGCAGCTGCAGCAGGGAGTGCTGGCAGCTCGGGGACACTGGGGACAGGGCTGTCACCATTGCTGGGCCATCTCTGCTCCTTCAGAGCTCTCCAGCCCTGAAAATACCCAACATTTCCCCTTCAACACCCAGAGTTACCAGCACTGARCTGGGAAAGGATCCACTGCTCCAGCACACACAGGCAGGGGGAGAATCATAAAAAGATCTGGTCACAAAAAAACCCTACAAAAAAAAAMCCCTAAATACTCCCAGCATCACCCTCCCTTTGTGAAATTCAAACAGATTTGTGGTTTACTGTGGGGTTCAGAGGRAAGGCAGAAGGCAGGAGAGCTGTGCCCCTCTGGAGCAGGGAGAGGGATGGCTGCTGCATTTCACAGAGGTTACACTGACTGAAGATGGGCTCGCTGTTTTGATTGCCATGGAGATTTCACTTGGAAACCGATTTTCCTGCCACAGCTCAGCTCAGCAGGGAGAGCTGAGCAGGTCCTCCCAGGGAGCTGCATCTCRGGGGGTTCCAGGCTGGAGCTCAGGCACCAGGCTGGCCATGCCCACCCTGCCCAGACATCCTCTGTGGGTTCCCTGCACCCCAAAAACCCACCCTGAGCACTGTGGGGTTTCTGCAAGGYTGGATGGGATCCTGAGATCCCCTCACCCAGCCCATTTGGGTCCTGTCCCTGCTGTGTTTTCCACCCCTGGACATTCCCTTGCCCCCTCCCCTCTCCAAGCCAGCTCTCCCAGCTGATGCAGAATTTCAAGAGCAATTTTTCAGAGTTCTGAGCAATCAGGTTTCAGGCAGAAGCCACTGAAGCCATTCAGCTGAAAAGGCCCAAAAATGCCAAGTGATGGATGTCCAGGGATGAGGCCCCATCAAAGATCTAAACCAGCTCTTTGCTAATGAAGAGCGATTTCACTGATGGTTCTGAAAATAAAAAGGAATTACAGCATTCCTAGAAAGAAGCTCTTCAGACTAATACAGTTATTTCAATCAGAAAAATTGTTTCTGTAATCCYGCAGATCCAATCCCACTCTGTTTTAAGCGCTGTGCCGTGGCCTCAGTGGCCCCTCCCATCCACCCACTCCACATTTCCTCCACTGAGATGTTCTCCTTGTCTTTCAGGACATGAGTTATCCACATTTAGCTYCCTCCTGCCCAGGGCATGCCCACTGCTCCCTGCCCCACTGCCARCCCTGTCCTGGGCTCAGGGATCACTCCTGGGCATCTCAGGATGGAAAATCATCTCCGTTCCCAAACTCATCCCCCAGGGTACCTCACTCTGGGGTTTTCTGCCTGTGATCAGGAACAGGAGCAGGAAAAGAGTTGTTGGCACACACAGCTCATGCAGGGGTGGAAATGTTCCACCTTCAATAATCACTTAAGTGAGGTGCCAAGTGAACAGGAGAGGACAGGGAGTGAAAAGGAGAGAGCAGGGAT